TCGGTTCTTAGGAGAGCACAGTATCAATCATTGCGTGGGAGACCTTGCTTTTTTGAGTCAGATCTTGCAAAACAGGACATAAGTTATCACTGATAGCTATGAAATAATTAGGAATCACTATTTATCTGCACAAAGATAATAAATATTAAGTTTATAAGGGAATAAATAATGTCTTCACAAACATACACATCGCAATCTTACTTTTACAAAATTATATTAGTACAATATCCTTGCAAAAACTGTATGGACACTCAAGGACAAGCCATGTCAAAGTTACTGCACAGTTTTGCAGTTCTGTAAGATTCATTTAACTACATAATCATTTTAAATTCAACAAAAGTATAAACAGAGACATACTGAAGACAGAAATTTAGTGAAGTTTGAAACAGATTTTGTATTGACATGAATACACTTCAGGTGAAATCTGTTAAAAATTGAACAGTCTTCTAACATCTTTTAAAAAAGGCTTCAAAAAGCCTTGACTTCTATGATGTTCTAGCAGCAGTTGGCAGCATGATCATAAAATAGATCTATGTACAGAAATAATGAAGAAATACAAATTATCATGAGGTTTAATATTTGATCCTGCTAGATGCTGCACTCTCTGGCCCTGACCCAGCAAATCATTTAAGTATGTGGTTACAAGTCAGCGTGTATGTTGCCCCATGGAAGCAAATGAGGTTATTCAAAGTTTGAGCACATAGTTAAGTGCTTTGAACGAGTGGGTCATTAAAGTACCAACCACTTACTGCTGGAGTACAAGGCTCAATTACCGTTATGAACAGATTGCTGCATAGCTGTCCATTACGAGGCTTAAGTACTACTCTTCGAAGCACGCCTTGAAGCATTTCTTCACCACTGGATAAGAAAAAAAAAAGTGGGCCTCTCTAGGCAGGAAATTCCTACATACCATCATTTCACTTTCACGTGCAAAACCACACTATATTGATGCCTGTGTACAAGCATCACTTCGGGAAATACAAAGCGCCATCAGTGATAACGGTAATTGTGCAATGCAAGCTCTCTCCTACCACACATACACACATCCCACACTCCATTAGAGCCAATTTCTTCCTGTATGCAGGGCCAGCAATAACTCCTAAGATCCATAGAGGAAAAAAATCCTATTACTCCGTTCTCTTTTCTCATATCTTAGACTTGTTCTGCCATCCCACCTCTTTATTTCCTCGCATTATTGTACGATCTTCATTCAAACATGCTGCCATGGCATGAGTTATCCAGAGCTACCTCATGTCCATAGGAGAAGCTGATTTTGCTGTTAGGAGAATCTGTGTGGTGCTCAGGTGTCGTGGTAATTATTGCACCAAAAATACTAACCTGTGCAACAACCTTTACACAGAGAAGGAATTCTGTAATGGCAGCACTTAGGCCTTTGTCCTGAAAAATTTCCAGTCATAGGCTAGAAATGCTTTTCCGTAAGGAAGCAGAAGTATCTCTTTTGCCACAGGGCTTTCTAAAATGGTAAAATCAGGAATAACAGAACTCACATTTGATCAGCCTTATGTCATGTAAAGTTCCTGTTTGTCAAATACTGAGCCCTTGGCATAACTCTCCCTCGGTCAGTCAGGACTGTTCCTGGAATACCTGAAACACCACTTCAGTTGTGTGCCTTTCTTTCCCGCCTGTCCAGCTGTAGATGCACACACTGTTGTTCCCATATTCATTAGCTCTGACATAACCTTGTCCACTTTCCATGAATGCTGTAAAAAAAGAAATACCCCTGTACAGTCACTGAAGATCAGCTATTGCAAATGTCAGGCTCAGTCAGTGGGAAGTCAAGCAGTGTCAAATTGTATTTGAATCCTCTGTTCAAAAATAACAAAGCAGAAAAGCCTCCGAAGAGAACTTACTTCTTTTAGGTTATGTACTGGAAGCTACTTATGCAATGCAAGGATGGGGTCACATTTGGGTAGGATATTAAGAATCTTTTCATTTCTCACTCCAAGTGCATACCTGACTTTATAGAAGAAAGGTGTGCTTGGAAGATGTGGGAGTACCCACAGAGTCTTGGGCTACAACTCAAATTGCTCTGCTTGGCTATGGCTCATCTCCATGGTTTATAAAATTGAATATATATGACAAAAACAGGCACAACTGAAAGTGAATGAAGAGGAAGTAAATGTATTTGACCTACACATTTGTCAGCTAAAAGCTGACTTTGAAGTAATGATGATATGGGAGATACGAAACAATCTGATGCAGACTTGATGGTCCCAAGGGTCTTTTCCAACGTGAATGGTTCTATGATTCCACGAATCTATGAAAGTAGACCTGAGTAGATTGGTAAAATACCAGCTAATATTCCCTTGATGACGTACGGCATTTTAGAACATTTTCTGTCCATAAACATTAAAAAGATGCAGAAGCCCAGAGCCTCATTTCCCTGATCAAGTACAGAATACTAAATAACTTTCCAGGGAACACAGAGCAGGTTGATGGTGTAGCTAATGATCCAAGTCTTTCCTTGCTTCCATCCATTGGACTACAGAGGTGTTTCTCAGACTTTCCTTTTGGATCATTCTTTCATTGGAACATCTGCTCCTTCAAATATATTTCACCTCACAAATTGGCACCAACTTATATGTACGGATTGACATAAGCATAATCAAGACCAAAATTTACACCACCATCAGTTTTGCATGGTGAATGTACCACATGGACTATCAAGCTTATGCTATTACTAAAAATGCATTATTGCATAGTAGACACATTTAGCATATTAAAATTGGATTATCAGTGAATTTCATCAAAACAAAACCCCATTGATACGCAGGAAGTTTCCAGTACTAGCACACTGAGGGTAATATTTCATGAGCCTGAGCATCCTAGAGGTAATATTTCATGAGTCAAGACAGCTGAATTAGAAAGAATACTGCACTAAGGAGGAAGATGAGCTGCAAACCAAAATCTACAAGGCCACTGGTAATGCTGTTATTGATGTTATCGGGCTAGGCTTCCAACTTTTGGATAGCCTGGAAGAAGAGAGGCAAACAGGAGAGCAGAGAGAGACAGCCCCAGCTGAGACTGATCCGGTCTGAATAGCTTAGCTGGGAACAGGGTAACTACAGAGATGGATACAAAACCTGTACCACACTGAAACTTGGGAGCAATTTCTAGAAAAGCAGAACTCCTTTACTCTCACCTGTAGACATCAACTGAGCAGATGTGGTCTTGAAAACTGCAGAATTTGGAGGAAAAAGCTCTACAGCACCGTAAGGGCGCAATCGGACAGCTTAGAGGTAAAACCACTTTGCTCTCTTCCTCAGTCTACATCATTAAAGCAAAAAGCAGAGGGCTACCCTTAATTAGGCAGATGTGAAAAAGCTAAATCGAAGAGTGAGTCCTCATTCTGAGATGACCTGTAGGTCTGGTTTCCAATGAAATCATTTTAAGATTTAAAAATAGAGTTCATCCTATAGACAGACTGAGTCATCTGTTCACCTAGATCAATTCTGCATTGCTTGAATGCCATCAGTGGACTGAGAGAGCTGGAGGGCTCTCCCTTCACCTTTCACTCACCTTCAGTCAGGAGAAGAAAAGGGAAGGGCAGTTTTATACACGGTTCTTGTACGCAATTCGCCTCACCTGTAGTTTTATTTTGAAAAACACTGAGCAGTAAGTAATGAAAAACTATCCTAAACTAGAGCTAGGTAAATAACCTTTTTAATAGCTTAGACCCCATATTTCAGCACTGAAAGCTTACAAGCTGAAATGTTCTTCCATCTAACTGATGCTTTAAATTATTTTAATGACCGCTATTTTGTATTTTAACTCCTTGGACCAAGTGCAATTGTTTTAAATTTCAGCTTTGCCATTCAATTATCACATGAGCCACATAAAACTCTTAGTTTCCTGCTCTGATGGGATCTGCACATTTGCAATTCTGCTTCCCAGCGCTCTTGTGTATGTGGCTTCAAAAACATCCCTGCCAGTAAAACCAAATTATTTAATTGTTCCGAGAAAATGAACACAAAGGGGACATACAAAGATCAAGCTGAGTTTATTTAAGATTTGGATAAACATCTATGGAACTCTCCGGGCATTATTTGCTCAGCTCTTTTCGGTGGTGGGGCATTTTGGACAGTCTGGTGCCTAAGCTTAACCAGGCTCGCTCAGCATCTTTCTCCAGGACAGAATTGCAGACAAGTTGTATAACCTGAGTGTGTTGCACCCACTCACTCACTGTAAACTCTGACCCTGTGAAACTTTCTGGAGAGTGAAGAATTAAAGGAGAAAATTGTTCAGAGCATTACAATGTGCAATTTTAATGAGACGCATAATGGAAGTAGCTGTGTGGGAGGATATTACTTCCTTATAAACCTAAATCAGATGCCCAAAGATTTCTGTCATCTCCCGAGATTGTTCCATCAGGCTCTACAAGAGGTTTTCCAGGGGAAGAAAAATAGCCACCCCCAACCCCCCTGCTTCAGGTTGAAAAAGTTGTATGGCTTTTTTAACAGTTTCCAATGAAATCCCATATTATTGCTTCTCCCCGGGGAGACTTCAAAAGTCAAGTGAACTTCACAGGGCCCACATGTTCATAAACCTCAAGTAAAAGACCAGTAAGGAAATAAATTGCAGTTCTTCAATTAGCATTTGACACTCTCTACTGTTTTTTCTTTCGTGGGGTGAATTTGTCCGTCTTCTAAACCATGCTGATAAATTCAATGAGTTACTAAACCCAGCATTATTTCATGTTTTTAAGGCATGCTGAAATCATAAACTCAAATTCACAGCAGAATTTGCTTTCTGCTTAATATTTGAGGGTGATATAAAACAACTTTGGCAGTTTCAAACATGTTGAAGGGGCTAATATGTACGTGAATATTTTCTTCAAGCTCCTTATTGTGTATTCACAGCTACTGCCAAACACAACAACAGAGACAGGGCATTAGGATATGAAATGGGAAGTAGTCAAATTTTCAAAGCGAGCTGCTGGGTGCCAAACACTTCTGAAAATCTGGCCCCTGACTCTTTGGTGCAATTCCAGAAAGAAATATCTCTATGCTGGCAGCTGGCCAACGAGCTTTGGAAATCATTTTGCACAGTTATTTCAGTAAAGCCTAAAAGCCGATCCCCAGCTTTCTCTGCCTGATTAAGCACTGTCACCAATCACTATGCAGCTCTAAGGTACGCATGAAATATTCCTAGATAAATCCTCCATCTCCAGAGAAATGTGTTTCCTGTACAACTGTAAATCCAGGTTCTGTGTTGAAACTAATCCAGTCTGGCGGTGCTACGTCCCTGGAAAAGTTTCCTTGGAAACAACAAATTTAGGCAATGGCAAAGTCATCCAATCTTTTCATGCCACTATATTATATTAAAAACACCTGGTTTATTTATACAATGACTTACAGATCAGGGTTCTAGAAATAATAATACATACACTTTATAGCAAAAAATATACATATAATAATTCAACCTTCTATGATATATAGAAATGTTGTATATTTGTGGGTGTGTGGACATATATATAAATATATGGGTTGTACTTAGGTTTAGGGCACTTGTGTACAGATATGTGTATCTACATACACACAGTATGCATTTATATATCTCTCTAGGTGCCATGTGTGTGTACATAAACACACATAAATACACACAGGAGCATATTTACACTCTGTGACTAGGCATGTACTTTGCAGAATCTGCACACAAACAGCTGGAGTCCTTCACTGGCTGTGAGCATCGAAGGGCTCAGTGACCACCCACATTAGTGTCCGCGGAAAAAGAATTAATGTCATCGCTGTGGGCACAGGACTGGCTTGATGCATCTCCCTTTGTGAAGAACTAAATTTGCTGGACAGTGGCACCCTGCAACGCAGGGCTTGTTGCATGGGCCGATCTCGTTCCAGTTGTCACACGTTTTGACGCATCCCGGACCACAGGTATCATAAACTGCACCGTGTTTACACTGGGTTGCTGAAAGTAAAAGGAACACAATCTACATGTTACACAGAGGAAAGTTATAGATCTGTTTGGTCGGTTTCTACTGCAAATACAACAACGCGCGTTTTTGTTATGATCACCTAGAGGAAAAAAACAACTTCTAAAGCAATTCCACTATATTAAATGCAATGCTACTTTACATCACAAATATAAAGGTAGTGAAATTCCTAATCAAAAAAGGATCATGTTCCTAGCAGCCTTGAACCTTTTGACAATTTCAACATAGCTGATGGTATATGTAAAGCTTTGGCAAGATTTCTATCTATAGGCAGATCTACGGTTCATATCTAAGGCTTAACATTGTTTATTTTTTTATTACAATGCCTTTTATCAAGATTCCTGAAAAATTTACAAGGACAGGCAGTTATTATCAGTCCCACTCCTCAGAAAGGAGAGTCATTCACCATGTCAGACTTTCTATTTCTAGTACTTTCAATATTTCACATTGTAGCAAACCAAAATAATTGGTGTATTGGGTTGGAAGAGACATTAAAGTTCACCCCTTTCCAACCACCCCTGCCATGGGCAGGGAATTCAGCAGCACCATTTCTAAAACAAACAAATAAAAAAATTAAATCAATTATTCTCATGCTTTATGCTATTTTGCCAAGGGATTACTGAGAATGAGGGTTCTCATAATTTATGATTTCAGTACCTATTCATCGATTTATGTAGCTGACAGTTCAATGCATTTCCAATATAAAAGACCACTGAGGGCTTAGCAAAAAGTACTACACCCCCTCCAGATCAATATTTAAACTCTTAACTTTAGTATGGAGAATAATACATGATTCAATAGCACATAAAAGTCTGTTATTCTTTCTAATGTCTGTGCTGATGGCAAGAACAAGTACTGATAAAATAGTTTATAGATGGCAAGGGACTCTCAAGCATCCAGAACCATCTCTGCTACATACAGGGAGAACTAAGGAATTAAGGTTTTTTCCGTTTTGAGAGACATTGATAGTCCACATTTTTTAAAGAACAGTTCTGTTACGGACATAAAAATGCTGTTTTGTTGTGAGGACTGGCCTCGGAGTGCCATTACATTACTGATATTATTCATAAAGAGAAAACAGGCAGAAATAAATTGATTAAATCTGTATAAGAGTGTATCACAGAGGATGGAACTCTTAATGCTACAGCATCATATATTTAAGGGGGTCCTCTTCCTGATTAACAAAACAATCTTCAAAATAGCATCAGCTTCCTTCTACTTTTAGTTCATATGCATTTCATGGCATTTATACCTATGTGAAAAGTAGTCCTGAAGAAGGAATTCTGGCAAGAATACATATAATGTACTCAGGACACAGATACTAAATAAGCAAACAAAAAAATGGGGGAAAAAAATGGATAGTACAGCAGAAAATGATCCTGGAGATACAGAGCATCAACAGCTGAATATTAGATAGGTATTAGGTATGTATTAGGGGAAAAAAACCCCAACTTTCTAGCCTTACACATGAGAAAGCACTGGAGGAGGCTCTGTGAGGCATCATTTATTGCACATCATTTTAGAATAGGTTAGAAGAAAAGTCTTTGAGCAATGTTCAAGACAGGGTTACTCTGCTTGTGGGCATATGTCTTTAGAGAACTTTTTCCAGCCTTACATTTCTGTCTTGCTCTGCTTGATAACTTTTCTGCACACTGAAGAAGGAAAAGAAAAGAAGGAAGAACTAAAATGAAATTTAAATCAAATAGAAAATTTAGAAGGTGGGAAAAACACACAAGCAATATCGAGTGTGCAGTAGAATATTAGATTCACGGCAAACTCTGCACTTACATGGTATGTTAAGACTACAGAATGAATCTCTATAAGAGGGGAAAAGAAAATGTGCAAAGCTCTCAGAAGCTTTGCAAACAATGTACTAACTGCCTAGAAAAGTAGACCAAGATGTTCAAAGACGGATAGTGATTGTCCACACACAACGCAATCTATCCTAAGGGGCCTATTTACTAAAAGCTTACTGCTTTCCCTCTGAAACTGTGTTTCCCTTCAAAGTATCTCTAACTGACCAGCCAGAAACTGAAACATCAGGCTTCAGTAAACACAGTTTCCATATAGAAATGTCTATGAGCTTCAATTTTTAGGCTGCACTGGTTTCATCTCACAAAGCTTTACTCCAGTAAGAGCCAGCCCATTTGTTCCACCTGAGCTCAGCTTGGTGTCTCAGCCTGTGAGTTCGAGGAAAGTTGGCCAAGGTCTCCTTTTCATTTCCTAATCTCTGCTCCAGAGCAAATGAGAATTATATTACAGGCTGCCTTTGGCAGCCATGGCATCTGTAAAATACTCGCCAGTTCTGCTGTACCACACGTGGATGTGGTTTGTCAAAACACCTCCTTCTCCTTCAGATTATGCCATGTGGAAGATAGGATGAATTTATTTTCTGCTGTAGGCAGTCTAATACAGCATTATTAATTTGCTGTCAAGGGGAAAATCAGAAAAGTACAATGGCTGCTGTTTTAGTTCCCTGGATGGCTTTTATTGTTGTGTGCTTCAGTCGCTAACATGTAGTATGATTGATCCAGAACATTCCACTTCATCAACAGTTTGAAAAATAAAAACAATGACATTCTGCAGTAGGCTTCCCAGGGACTGCTGAAATGAATCAGTACCATGTAAACATGGAAAACAGAAGTGGTGCCTTTGCACCCGTCTTTTAAGGCAAACTCCTCTCTGAAGGAACTGAGCTCTGTTAGTAATAACTTCCTTAGCACACAACCAAAAAAAAAAACCAAAACAAAAAAACCCCACAACCCCAAAGTACCAAAGTTATTAATAATACTGCATTTTGCAACGTTACTAGTCCCAACAGGATTTTTCCACTCTTCTTCTAGAACATGTGTTTGGCATGACAGAAGTGAGCTTCCTCAAATTGCTTTCTGAGCTGGCGGGATGATAGCCAGCTCCAGTCCAGAAGCTATATAGTCACATAAATACAGCACTGTGCCTGGACTAATAAACCCTGCCTAATAAGGCTATACAGTTTTCAGACCAGAGCTGGTTTATTCCAGCCAGTTTGGCAGTTTCACAGAGAAAGCTTGTATCTGTCTATGCCTGTCTTTGTAGACATGACCATAATTATTCAGGAGGAATTCCTGTTCCCCAACACAAAAGCTAGGATACCTAACATGGAACTGCTGGAGGATTTCCTTGGTGGATGATGCTGGTTAAATCCGATGCCATAGTGATTTCTAAGCTAATATCTGTGCATTAATGAGTCATCCTGCTGGTTCTGTTTGTGTTGCACATTTTAGGCTTTCTAGGTGTTTTGTAGGACTTTCAAACTGAATGGTGCTCACAATTCACAGCATCTCTTCGTAACACAGTAGGAGGCAATAGATGTGGGCACTGACCTGGTTTCTAATGCCACACTTGTGTTAATCTTTTAAACTCTCAGTTTTTAATGAGTTTCCACTGTAATTCTGTAACTCCGTAAAAGTCAGGATAGCCTTCTCATATATATTCATGTGGAATAAAGCAATTCAAGGAAAGCAGCATATACCAGAGAAAAAGAGTGACTTTGTCCAGAAAATTCCACAGCAGAAAAAAGGGGACCCAGGAGAGAAGAGTCAAAATCAGATATGCACTCATCCTCCTCTAGATCAATAGGAAAATGAGAAAACTGTTCAGTTTTTATGAGGCTGTTGGAGCATGTCAGCACATCAGTGCTACCATGTGCACTTTCTATGTTATTATAGTCCATGGTTGCTTTTTCTTCATGCCTGTGTAGTCATGCCCACATCAGGAAGTTATTGCCATCCTTGAATCTTCTTTCTCTCAGTGCCCTCAGAAATTCAGTGTTCTTTCCTGTTTTGTTTTTTTTTAATTTCTTCTCCTTCACACATCATATTTCCTCCTGTGCCCATCCTAACATGTCTCACTCCCCACCACTTCCCATGGAAACCCATATTGCTTTCCAAACCCTCTCAGTTCCTGTGTGGATCTCACCAACCCTTTCCTACTCTCACTTATTAGCTTCCTCTCTTCACCTCTCCAGCTGAATGACAGTTGACATTCCCCTTACCAAGCCAGCCTCAGAGGACAGCAAACCTTGAGCAGTAGTACTTCACAGAGGACTTACAGAAGGATGCCTGCAGAAGGAGGAAGGGCATGTAGGGAAGAGGAAATGTAAATCAGCCTCCTGAGAATCCTGTTTGGCTGGCCCTCCAGACAACACAAACTTTCTAAAGATTATAAAAATGAGCTATGCATACAGGAGTTGGGCTAGAGGAACTGGCAGCCACACAAAAGCTAGTTTTATGACACACAAAAGAATAATTAAAGCCTGACTTTACTAATAGGTAGACTCCATTTTCATCAGAACATCCCTCTTCCAAGTATCCCACCAGCTATGAAATATCAAGCAGGAAATGAAAGTCACAGAATGTTAAAGTTTTATTACAGATATATTGTTTCACACCCAGGAACTTTTATCCATAATTGGGGCACAGTAATCGTAACTGCCACTTTTGGGGAGAAAAGTAAGTTAAACTTTGAAATCTTATGCTGGCCACTGGTAACATAAGGAGCTCAGTGGATGCACTTTAGTTTAATGCTTAGCACACAATTTACTGTAGAAGATGGTGCTATTTGTTTCACTTTGGATGCTTAAGTAAGTATTCTTAGGGTACTTGACCATATATAGCTCATCTATATTTTCTGCTTAACAAGATTTCTCCCATTCCCTCTACAAGTCTGAACTGAGAATAAAAAACTCATGTGGTTTTAAAAACTTTCATTAGCTTTAATGGAAGATGTCTTTAAATTCCTTCATAATGTTCTCTCAAGGATTGCTTTTGCCTTAGAAACTTTTCTTGTCTTTGGAAAAATGCCAAAAAAATTGCGAAAAGAAGCCTCAATTAGTTAAGTCGTGATATGTCAACACTTGTATAAACTCTTTAAGTCAGGAACTGGAGTCTTCATTCTTTTTACAGCATCTGCCACAGTGAGGTCTCGGTCTGAAGTACTTTGGTCAAAAAAATAAAGAAGTTGAGATGGTTGTTTCAGGTTCTGCATGGATGTGCTGCCAGATCAATAGATTAAAATTACATACATTATCAGTGCTGTCTGAGACCACATCCTTGAACAGGGCTTTCACTTAGTGACACACTGTTTGGATTGTTCTGTTCCTTTGTAAAAAAAAATAAAAATGAGCCTTTCGGGAACAGTCAATCAAATGTAATTTTCTCTTACACTCATCCATCCCTGCTATCATGCCTTCAACAGGAAAGGAAATTGAAGTTGAGAGAGAAGACCCTGAGCCACACGCAATCACCAAAGTGGACCACAGAGTAATAGCTCTTTGATCAGCCCTGAGTATCCTTCTCTTGTCTTTTTTTCCAACTACTGTCAATTGCTTTACATAAATCTGAATACATTTCTAGGGAAACCGATGCCACTAGAGAATGTCCTAAATTAATGAGACCATCATCAAGGGAAATATTAATCTGCAATATTGCATCTTCATTCAAGTGCTCATGCTCATAACCACAGGCCACCACTTCTCATGGAAACAGTTACTCACAATTACTTTCAATTAATGCAGTTCTAATCACATGAGGAATCTGGTCTAAGTACCAAAATTAATGTAGGTTTGCATTTTAATATTCCCATTAAATATCTTCTCTCTTCCTCCCTTGTTAAACCTACTGCAACCATATATGCATGTTGTCTCTGGAAACAAAACTTTGCTTTAACAGGTGGTCAAAGGAGTTTAAACTTTATCTGTAATCAACTGTTTACACATCCGGAAAGAAAAAGGCATACACTTCTTCCTAGAAATATACAAAATCAAGATAGATGGCATTAGAGGTGAAAAGTTTTGCAGCAAAATAAACATTTCTAATATTTGATGACTGAAAATCTTTCCTGGTCTCCGTAACTCAGAACCCAACTTCCCTGCTAGTGCAATCCCAGTCCTTTTTTTAGCTGGTTCATTTTTGATCCTTATGCACCAGTAGAAGGATAGTAGCCTATTAGCCTATGCACTGGCTTACAAAGAAGCAGTGTCAAAATGCTTACCAGCACAGTTCTGATCCGGGACCCACTGGACTTTCAGCCCTTCCCTCTGACAGGCTCGGGCATATGCCAGGAACGACTCGCAGTAGCAGTTTTTATGGAGTGGGCACTCGCACATGTCTGTCACACAGGACCTGCAGAACAAAGCCCCAAAAGAAATAAGCAAGGAAATCTTGGGCAGATATCTGTCTGAGGTTTGGAGTTGGTTACTTTGAGGTCACATGTTGTTCAAAGCCACAGCAACCTGGGCTAAACAGCAAAAAAGTTAAATGCATCTCTGCTGTCACATCCCAAAGGTTCAGCTCTTTTTTGGTGTGCTGCTCTGATGCAAAGAAGTGTCACAAGAACACCAGGCAAACAACCACACAGAAACAGGGAGATGAGAAGAAGACCCAAGAAACATCAGGCAGAGAGGATCAAGACCACAGTGGGAGAAGGCAAACCCCATTTTTGCAATTTTGTGTCAGTACAAGATAAAAGTCTTCTTTCTTATTCCCTGGAAACTAGTAATTTAACAATTTTACCAATAATAACAGCAGCAGTGTTGAGTGGGTGGCTTCTGCAGGTCATGAGCATGTGCCCTTCCATACAGTGGATGAGAAATGGTGTCTTCTCTCCAGGTAACTCCCAGTGTCTCCCAGTTCTGAAGATCCCAAAATAGCTACATGCCTGTTTTCTCAACAGCATCACTACTAAACACCAGACTTCAAGTGACTGCAAAGGAGCAGGGGTGATGCAGCATAACTGAGCAGTTCTCATGCTAGGAAATCCCCCAGGCACTTGTTAATGGAGGTGTTGCCTAAGATGGAATCACCACAAAACATGGTAGGGAGCAAAGCTGCTAACATGGCCCTAAGTGAAACTGCTACTGCATATGTCACCACTATATTTCAAGTTAGCTCATCCAGAACATGTGCCCATTTGGCACAGACCTAAAATATAACTGGCAAGAGCCAGTGGATTTGCAGTCTGCAGTTTCTGCAATATGCAAAATGCTCAGATGCTTCTGCAAACACTGCAACGCAAATTTGGAAATGCTGAGTATCTGCTCCTCAGAACGGGATCATTAGGAGGCAGGGATAAGGTGCCAGGAAGACATCCTCATCCCTCTGGAAATCACACCCTCAGTTCCTCAGCTTTCCACTGAGCGTGCTCCTTGCACGTCGAGGTGCTGCTCCATGCACATTCAGAGACTTCTCCATTCTTGAGAGGACAAGGCAATATTTGAGAGGCATAAATTCTCCAGAAAGACCAAGGACTGAAGTAAAAATGAGCTCTCTGTATTAATCACATCTGCTGTGGACCAAAAATTCAACTGTCTAGAGGAAAAGGATGGATATAGGCCTAATTTTCCAGAAACTTTTCCCATAGCCGAATAGATAATAGCTTGGAAAAGGTTCAAGCACCTCAGTCGACATAATTGGGAGCCCTAATGCCCATACAATGCTTTAGAGTGACTGGGAACTCTCTAAAGCAAAACTAGGAGAGAGGATTAGTGCTGAGGGAGCTGGCAGAGTTCATTGCTAGGCCACTCTCCATCATCTTTGGTAAGTTGTGGGCAACAGGAGAGATGCCTGAGGACTGGAGGAAAGCGAATGTCACTCCTGTCTTCAGAAAGGGCAGGAGGGAGGGCCCAGGTAATTACAGACCATCCATCCTTGGAAAGGTGATGGAACAACTCATCCCTGGCACTGTCTCTAGGCATATCAAGGATAAGAGGGTCATTAGGAGCAGTCAGTATGTTTTTTCCAAGGGAAAGTCATGTTTGACCAACCTGATAGCCTTTTATGAAGATGTACCCAGGTGGATGGATGGTGGCCATGCAGTGGACGTGGCTTATCTGGATTTCAGTAAAGTATTTGACACTGTCTTCCACAGCATCCTCATAGCTAAACTGTGGAAATGAGGTCTGGATGACCAAGTAGTGAGGTGGATTAGGAACTGCTTGAAAGAAAGAAGACAGAGTCTAGTTGGAGGCCTGTGTCTAGTGGGGTCCCTCAGGGGTCAGTACTGGGGCCAGTGCTGTTCAATATATTCATCAATGACTTGGATGAGGGATTAGAGAGCACTGTCAGCAAATTTGCTGATGACACAAAACTGGGTGGAGTGGCTGACACACCAGAAGGCTGTGCTGCCTTTCAGAGAGACCTAGACAGGCTGGAGGGATGGGCAGGGAGAAATCTTATGAAATTCAACAAGGGCAATTGTAGAGATGATGAAGGGAGTGGAACATCTCCCTTATGAGGAAAGGCTGAAGGAGCTGGGTCTCTTTAGCTTGG